TGTGCTTTTATTTTCTTCATCTCTCTCATGGTGAGTTCAGGTGAGGGAGTGTTTTGAATGAGTTAAACCAGGCATGCCCAAACTCGGCCCTGGAGGGCCGGTGTCCTGCAAAGTTTAGTTCCAACCCCAATCAGACACACCTGCACTAGCGAATTAAGCTCTTACCAGGCTTTCTAGAAACATCTTTGGAGGTGTGTTGAGGCAAGTTGGAGCTAAAATCTGCAGGACACCGGCCCTCCAGGACAGAGTTTGGACAACAGTGAGTTAAACTCTCCTTAGTTTAGTGTCACACTGGCACACAAATATCAGTATATATGGATAGGCTTTTTTGAAAGCATATTCCTATCTTAATGGGACGATAATGGTTGGACTGCACGATATATCGTTTCAGCATCAATATCGCAATATGATCATTCACAATAGTTTATCGCAGAATATACAATATCGGGTCTAAATTATAATTGATAATTTTGCAAGTGTTTTTTAAGGCCTGTGATTGAATGAGAATTTTAAAAATGGTTTCTTTTTAACTTCAATAATGATTATTTTATTGAATTGTTTGTTCAACAGGGTGGCTCAGTGACTCAGTGGTTAGCATTGTTGCCTTACAGCAAGAAGGTCGCTGGTTCGAGTCTCGTCTAGGCCAGTAAGCATTTCTGTGTGGAGTTTGCAAGTTCTCCCAGTGTCAGTGTAGGTTTCCTCCGAGTGCTCCGGTTCCCGCCACAGTTCAAAGACGTGCGGTGCAGGTAAATTGAATTAACTAAATTGGCCGTAGTGAATGAGTGTGTGTGAATGTGAGAGTGTATGGGTGTTTCTTAGTAATAGATTGCAGCTGGAAGGGCGTAAAACATATGCTGGAATAGTTGACGGTTCATTCCGTTGTGATGACCCCTGATAAATAAGGGACTAAGCCAAAAGAAATTGAATGAATACAACAAAGACTTTCCAATATTTTTTTTTACATTTGATTACTTAATTACTGTTATTTAATTCTATATTTAATTCTCGTACAGCCCTTAATGGCATTATACATTTAAATGAAAATTGAAGAACAGGTCTTATCAATGTTTTAAAGTAGAATGCCCTTAAATAGTGTAGTATACAGGGCTCGAAATGAACCTTTCTGCTTGGTAGCACCGGTGCTCCTAACTTAAAAAATTGAGGCGCATCAGCCAAAATTTAGTCACACGTATAAGCACCGTTACTACAAGTTTTATACAAACATATTTATTGCATTTAAAATCACCACTAATCAAACTAACAAGCAAAATATATATATGCATGCATGAGAAAAAAAATCTCGTTATCACAAGAAAATAGATTTTTTTAACATAACTGAGTGACCAAAAGGTACACGGAGCGCTCACCAGCCCTGCAAGCACTGCTTGACATGAATGAATCGGTTAACGGTGTAACTGTGCTGTTCTCACGCGTCATGTCTAATATTGCACTGATGCTTTTGACATATACTGTACCTTATTATATGCATACGTCATGTTAATAGCAATACTTTTCATGAGTAGCAATATTAGTTTACTCAGTGTAAGCTCGTTTGCGATGGTGTACGTGGTGTTCAATTTTACATATAGCTGCCCCTTGCATGGCGGACAGCATCTGGCGATTATATGGAGGATTAAACAGAAGCTCTCGTGCTAGATGCGGCACGAAACAGAATCAATAGAGAGGTTTGTGCAATTCAACTCAGATTTTAATAGTAAATTCAACAAAGGCAGTCTGTCAGTAATTCAGATGAAATACACAGATCCGGTTCTTCAAAGCAAACTTAAAAGGGAACACCCACGGCCGTGGGCGAGAGAGCCGATCAGTCCGTGCCCACCACAGAGATGCGGGAACCACTGACCTCCGGATGCTGATGGTCAGAGCACAGTCAACAGGTGAGTAAGCAAGCTGCGGCACTCACAACATGAAACGATGAACACAGGAGGGATGATCGACAACCAGACGAGACGATACGAGACGAGACAAATGATGATGAAATCTGATATTGGTAAAAACTAATACACGGAGAGCAAACGCACAGAGTAACAATAATCTGACAACAGAGGGAGAAAATAGGGAGGTAGATATAGGAGTGTCAATAATGACAAAGTGAGAACAGGTGACTGCTGATCAGCGCTCGCGCTGATTGCAAGCGCTGACAGCTGGTAGGAGAAACACAGAAGGGAAAAGATTGACAATCAACAAACCAGATTCATGACAAGATGTGGCACAGAGTTACCTAAAAATTCCATCCCACAGACATTTTATAGCGGACTTGAAGCCAATTTAAGTAATTTATCCACTCTTCGAAAAGTGTAGATGGTGGATTAACATTCAGCACATGATCACTACTAAGATGTGTCATTATTTGTAACTTTAGATGCCATGGTTTCTAAAAGAAAATCTGTCAGTGTAATCTTCATTCTCATCTTCAGCGCTTTAGTTTTTTGCAGTAGAACAGTAGGAAGTGAGGTTTCCTATACCCATAGAGAGAACTATTTGTTGTTTGAATGGCTTCTCCAAATCGAACAAATCGAACAAACAGGATTTCTTCCTGTTTTTATGGTCAGCCAGATGAAAATAGTAAGGGTGATTGCTTTGAAGTTCACAAGAGCCACAGTACATCAAGCCACATGATTTGAGGTTTGCTATTTGTGATTTTAGATGGAGAATTCAAATTTACACTATATCAATATTGGGAATAGGGGCAGCACAGTAGCTCAGTCGCAGCAAGAATGTTACTAGTTCAAGTCTCGACTGGACCAGTTGTGATTTCTGTGTGGAGTTTCTGTGTGCATGTTCTCTCTGTGTTAACGTTGGTTTCCTTTGGGTGCTCCGGTTTCCCCCTATAGTCCAAAGACGGGATAACTGAATTGGATAAACAAAATTGTTGCGGCTGAAAGGTCATTCGCTGTGTAAAACATATGCTGCAATAGTTGGTGGTTCATTCTGCTGTGAGAACTCCTGACAAACAAGAGACTAAGCCGAAGGAAAATGAATAAATGAATGAATATTGGGAATTTGTTTGTAATATATGAATATTTAATGGGTTTAATTTTGTTTGTTTGTTTTTCATTCATAAAATCAAAATTGTCTGGAATATTAGACATTTATTTGGCTTATCTGTTTTTAATCAGAATTGTAATATTGTTGCATTCCTAGTTATAATTATCATAATTATTTATTAGTTTATCATAGTGTCTATTCCAAGGGTTCTCAAACTCTTCAGCCTGTGAACTCTATTTTCAGAAGTGGTTATTGTAACGCTCGTGTTGGAAGGTGCATTATTCCAAAAAAGAAACAAAACAAAATAACCATTCACTTAAAGTTAACCTTGAGCGCCAGACAGAAACATCTGTCAAAATACCTTTTTGTTAAAGAAACACGCTAGCTCTTACAACACATTACAAATATTAAATGAAAAATAAATAATAAACAATATGAGCGACACTTAGGCTGCGTCCAAAACACAGTGTTGCCAACTTAGCAATTTTGTTGCTAGATTTAGCAACTTTTTATACTACTCTAGCAACTTTTTTTTCAAACAGCACCTAGCAACAAATTTAGCAATTTTTAACATAAATTTTCCAACTTTTAGCAATTTTTTAAAAAAGTGACTCAAAAGAGCAGTGGCTGCAGGCTTCACTCAGTAGAGTAAATTGCTAGCTCAGATTGTTTTTCATAACTGTTCATTTACTGATGTTTGTCAACATTTTTCTGATTCTTCCTTTACCAAACAACTGATGAATTCTCCGTTGTAAGCGTGAGTATTCCAGAAGCACTCGTACAGCACATGGCTGGGCTATAATGCTGAGGTATTTTTGCAAAAATAAACCTTAACCACTGACTCTTGAGTTTCATCTTTGGGTAGAGACAATAGCACTAACTTTCCTTCACACTTCCAATAATATCCAGCTGAGCACAGCGTGACTTCATACAACCGTCTGCTACAGTGTGTGTCGAGCCTGTTTCTTTGCTACTGTGCTAGTGGATGGGACCGCAGGTTTCAATTTTCCCGGGTTTGCGCGCGCAGCAACTGGGCGGGGCTTAAGTTTCGTATCCACGTCACGCAGAAACAGCTCACTCGTTGTCAAGGTGATTCATTTAAAGTACTAGGAGTCGACTCTTTTAGAAATTAATCAATAATTTTAAACACTGCGCATTTTCAGATTTAAACCTTAGCTGGATATTTCACTTCACTTAGAGCTGTTACACACTACATGGAAGGTCATTTACAAAAACCCATAATAGGGGCTCTTTAAAGTAAAAATCCATTTTAAAGTTAATATGATTTAATTCTAAAAAGTAACTTCCTTACAAAAAGTAACTTTATTGAAGAGATTTTTATTAAGAAATGTACTTTTACTTACATCACCTCGCTTCATTTTATGTTGTCATGTGCACAGTAGAAAACAAGATTCCCTGTTCAATCAAGTTCTTTGCTTTCAATAATAAAATGTTATACATAAATATATGGAAAAATAAATACATATAAATACCTCTATACACCGCCGGGCAAAAGTTTGGGCTCAGTAAAATGTTTAAATGTTTTAAAATAAGCTTCTCCTGCTCACCAAGGCTGTGTTTCATTAAAAATGCAGTACGAATTGTGAAATGTTATTCCACTATAAAATAACTGTTAAAATGTATTTGATCATTTAATTTAATCATTTATTACAGTAATTTTAAAGATGAATTTTCAGCATCATTACTCCAGTCTTCAGAGTCACTTGATCCTATTAATGGTAACAGTAATAAAAGCAAAAATGACTGGATCAATGATTTCATTTGCAACTACATACAATAAGTAATAAATCAATATTTACAGAATCATTTTCTTTAACACCCCCCACCGCCAAACTTTTGACCAGTAGTGTCATAAACAGCATAAAGTGTAAACGTGCAAACTGTACAACTAAATAAATAAACATACACATAATATACTCTAATATATACATAAACAGTGCAAAAATAAATCTTATTTCTGATATGTACATGTCAATTCATCTTTATTTACAAAACTTATACAATGCAAATGTTGTCAAAGCAGCTTATCAAATGTCTCTGTTGAAATTCAGTTCAGTGTAATGTCTCTGCTGAAGGCCGATCCCATGGAGAGTAGCTCAAAAGAGGCAGTTTCCTGGGGAAACGCTGATCCTGTAGTGTTTATGAGCACAGACGGTGGTTCTGGATCGGGAAAAGCTTCTTTATAGATGAGTTTTGATGATTTTTTAATGATTTTTTGTTGAAGATTTTGCTGCTTTGTGTGTGAAGTTCCTAAATGAGGAAAAATAAAAGAAGAAAAAATTAAAAGCATGTCTGGAATTTGTCTACCACATCGATAAAATAGGAAACAACACAATAGAAAAATCATCTTGTCCATGAACGGCCTCTTGAAGCTACAATCAGCCCATGAAATAGAAACCGCAACAAGAATATTATTTACCACAAAACTGCAAGTTGTTTTGAAGTAGTTATATGCAGTAAACAGACCCCCTAGTTTTCTGTGATTTAACAAACGCTAAACTAAACGCAAAATCAACAAAAAGCTAAATCCTTTGCGATTCTGCAAAATTCTTAATTTAAATGCAAAAAATGTAAATAATCTCATAAAACATCCAATTCTAAACTATCAAATGATATTTATTTCAGTTTGCAATGAAGTATTTTACACGACTTATACTGTAGATGTTGCAAATGCAGCGCACGTGATGTATTTGAGTGTCTCGAAAAATGACGTCTGACCTGCGCCCTAACAACCCTAAAGCCACCTTTCCACTACACATGACATTTGGACACGATTGTCGGATTACGCCCCCTTGTGTTAGTCGCACAGAATTTTCAGTTCTGACGTGCACCGTGGAAGAGAAGCTGTACTCGCAGTGTCCGAAATAAAGGAGTGCAAAAGCAATTCTCCGTTGTTGAATGAATGAATGAATACTAGAAACTCAGACTGCTAAAAATATTGGAGGGGATGTTTAGACAACATAAAAAAAGATATTTTTATTACTTTATTACTTACATTTATGAAAATAATTTTTATATATATATATATATATATATATATATATATATATATATATATATATATATATATATATATATATATATATATATATATATATATATATATCTATATATATATATATATATATATATATATATATATATATATATATATATATATATATATATATATATATATATATATATATATATATATATATATATATATATATATATATATATATATATATATATATATATATATATATATATATATATATATATATATATAAATATATATATATATACATACAGTTGAAGTCAGAATTATTAGCCCCCTGAATTATTATCACCCCTGTTTATTTTTTCCCCAAATTTATTATAATTAATGAAGGGAAGATTGTTTCAGCACATTTCTAAGCATAATAGTTTTAAAAACGTATTTCTCATAACTGATTTATTTTATCTTTGCCATGCTGACAGTAAATAATA